AAGGATTGGATTTAGCAAAAGGAAAGAAAAAAAAAAAAAGTGCCTTGAAGAAACACTACGATACTCTGAGTTTTCCTTTAATATAAGGACGGAAAATTTTGCTGTGAAAGTAACCCAAAAGGAATAGAGTATCAACAGACTGTCCTATCTTCCCCTCAGCAGTGAACTTTCTGGCTGTCTCAGAACTTAAAGGCATGCCAGAACTGAAGCCACACTGACTACACGGACTACATACCTTCTTGGATTTCTCACGTCGTTTGGGAAGGCTAAGAGCTTGTCTCTGTGTGTGGTAATCCATCAAGTGGCCTCACTGGGTTTTCTTTAAGAAAGAAATTCATCAAAGCACATCTTAAATTACTTACTATGGCATCATCTTGGGCTAAACTAATAGCCCACATAGGGAAAAAAGCTGCAAGGGATGGGAAGGCATGGGAACTGAAAGGAGACACATGGTGAGATAACATATGCCTAGATAGAAGCGATGTTATTTCCATTTATAGCATCTAGTCTGCTTGGAAGACACTCAGCAACAGCCTGGAGAGCTCGCTCAGGGCACGGGGAAACCACCAGGATGATGGCAGCACTAGGACAGAACGGCACTTGTAGGGACACACTAATGCAGCCAAGATGCACCGCAGCGCTGACTAGCTCCGCAGCTATACACAAATCCAACGCGACTTGCATGTGATTTTGTTTCATCAGCCTTGTTTTTTCAAAGAAAACTAAAGCAGCTGAATACTCAAACTCCATTTGTTTTCAAGGGTAATATTAGGGGCCTTATTCCTTAGATCCTTGACAATTCCATTCTAGATTTACTTTGGAATTCCTATGGGAACAGAAGTAGCCCCTTTAACACTTACAAGCAGCCTTCTTGTCTGCACCAATCTGTAATCGGTGCACTTTGGTTTTCTCTTTGCCATTTTAAAAATAAAGTTAAATGCACACAAAAGAACAAAACAACATAAACAGGTTCCCCATCGCCAGTGCTAAAAATCCTCACAGGCAATTGTTACATTCTGTGCCTGTTCTCTGCTAATTCATACTCTGAGAATGACAGTAGATTGGCAACCTCATTTCCAAAGCCCTGTAAATAAATGCAACCAACTGAACTAAAAAAAAGAGGGGAAAACAAAGGTCACTTTTACTAAAAGAATCATATAGGGGCCGGTAAATAAACCCTCTTATTTCTTAACTGTTCCTACTCATTACTGTTGTTCAAACCCATCAATGTACTATGCTGTCTTTATAAATAAAGAATTGTTTCTTGGGCAAAAGAAGGGAAAAACACATACTTCTAATTTCAGAAGACCTACGATCACTGCTGTAATTATTCTGTATTTGCTAATGCTTTAATTTACTTCCCACCCAGTATTTTATTTCAGCAGAGGACTACAGCAAGAGGATCCCAGCCAAGCCTGGTAATACCTGTGGAACAGGCTGATGCTGCCACCTTGGGGAGGACTCCTTCCGTGTACTTTGAGGAACCTAAGCAACCATCATAAACCCATTTTTGTTGTTGTTGTTGTTATTGCTGCTTGTCTTTCTCCCCATCATAAGAAGTCTTCTTAAATACATCTGTCCAGGCTGTCATAAAATCTTCCAGATGTGTCGCACCTCAGAGTACATTACAGTACTGGAAAGAAATGCCCTTTTTTTGTGGGGAAGTTGTTAAATTCTAGATGCCCTTAGCAGAGCCTCATTGACACTACTGTCAGCATGGGAACCCTTCTCCAGTACAACAAGTGGGTTCTGCATACAACACTCTTGTGTTCCAGGGATTTCAGCTTTCTTGGCAATTCTGAATCCTTGTCCATGCAAAGCTTAGACTCTATCTCATTAGCAGGCTACAGGCTCAGCTGGATGCAACTGCTAAGACATACACTGCCTCACATGGAAAGTCATTACCGTGCTCAGGACTGGTCCAAAGAAGTTCCAAGCTGCATTGTTCTAATTAGAACAAAATTGAGAGTTCTGGGCAAATTAAGGGAGGCATCTGGATTTAATGGTCACAATATTCTTAAGTTTTATGAGACTGACCGACTGTTTCACTTTTGGAGTGAATGACCCCCTTTGTGGTTGTTTCGCATTTGCATGCACTAGCAGATAAAGGAACCTTGCCACATACTTCTATATTTTAGGACAAAAGCCTGTGCAGGACTTAGTTGCATGCAACTCATATACCTTTGAGTTGCACTTTTTTTTTTTTTTTTTTTTCCCTCCAGTGAAATTTAAAACCTTACAGTTGGTGCCTCAGATACTCATATAATACAAGGAAGGATTGAAAGTGTCACCTCGCACCAGAATAGGTAGTCCAAGAGCAGGGAACTATCTAAAAGAAACAGCCTCTAAAACAGCCTTCCAAAAGAAAATATAGCACGGAGATTGTTACAGAGCTGTCCAGAGCCAGGTAACACAGAAATGATGAGCTCATGTGAATACAGATGTGGAGGCAGTAAAGGCACTGGTTTGTCATCTTTGGCTCCTGTCCTCTGGCAAAACACTGCCTCTGCTTGTGGCACCGCAGTGGGAAAGGAGAAGCTTTTGGAAAAACTAAATCTCTCTCCATTACTGCAAAGAGCAGGGGCAGCCCTGGCACCGCAGTAAACTCACAAGCACGTTTTGGATGGCAATGCCCCTGGACTCCAGCAGACGCCCTTCTCTTTACTCCTCAGCACAGAGGGCACACATACCAGCTTCTTGTGCTTCCCCCAATGACAGATATATCTTAACTCCCACAGAGCAAACATCCACCCACTTGGCATTTACAGTCCAAGAGGCAGCATCTCAACAGTCATGCTAACAGGAAGGATCGTGGCTATCTAGCTAACAGCCGGCATAAGAACTGGCAGGGGTGCAAACTTGCAGCGTTTTTTGCCAATTCACAATTATCTTCTGCATTTTAATCCACTAATGTTTTCAGATCTTTACACCCGAATTAGGTTTAAATCAGGTTTTGAAAATGTCACAAGCACTTTAAGTGCATATGCACTGTCACATGCATACACAGACAAACATTCAGGAACATGCAGCACTGAAAACAATCTCACTACCTTCAGTCTCGTGTTAAACTCTCATATTAAACTGCTAGTAAAGTGCTCACACGTCACACAATCTCTAAAGTGACTGCAAAAGAGCCCTTGTACTATTTGCAGATAACTAGCAAAAAAGTAATAGACAGTTCAATTACTGACCAAGCATATCCAATTGGATTAGGATCTATCAGTAATAGATTAACCAGACTAATGTGTGCGTAACAGTCTCACTGTGGTACGTTGCCACTACTGGTTTCAAAGTTCATGTATGAACTTTTATTATTCAGGACAAATTGTGTATGAATGAGGTCCAGAGAAAAGAAGAATTTAAGGCAGAATAAGGTAAATTGATGGCATATGAAATTCATCTAAGGATTTAAGTCTAGGCTGCATGAAGAAAAAAAAAAAGGGAGAAAATCCCTTCATGATAAAAAAGCACTACAGAATTAAAAATGGAATACCTGACTGCGTGTCCATCTAAAATCATGTTATTATGTTACAGAGACTGAATACAAAGCACATCTGGACCAACAAGTTACTGAAGACATCCACTTCAATAACGTACCATTTTGTTAGAGGGAATACACTGGTATTCACATTATGTGGAATTGATTATTGTAATAGTCTTGCTCTCTGCATTGTGAATTCTGTATGTAAAATCATCACGCGCAGAGTTCAATATTGTTGTAACCAAAATATGTTAACTAAGTAACTCTTTCCTGTTTGGCATCTTACTGAAATTACTTCAAAACATTCATTTAGGCATGGATTTAATATGTGGGAGATATCCTGAACTGCATGTGTAAGAACATAAATAAAGGCAATCCCAGGATAATTCTAAAATTATATATAATCCCTGTAAAGATACATAAATATAATAGTTTAAATAATATTTTCAAAGTTTCTGGGATCACTGATAACTTAAAATCAACTGCATGTCCTCCAGTATGAGCTTCCATTTCAAAAATCTCTGAAATTAAATGACTAATACTTCTGCTAGACATTAATGTGCAGCAAAATTCCTTCAAGACACTAGATTACCAAAAAAAAAGAAAAAAAAAAGATGAAAAAGAATGAGAGGATTTACTTCTAGTTATAATTGGAAATAATACTCGCACATCTCTCCATCCACCTCTGTGCTTTTCTTTGACACTAGGTATGTCATAGCAGTTAAAAAGATTGCAAATATGTCCCAGAGTCTCGATTTGAACTGGGATTAGAATCTGGAGCATTGGCTATTTCAGGTCATCTGGTTTCATTAAAATAAACTTCCTCTAGCTACTGGCAGCAGAAAACCTATTGGATCATTGTCTATTTCAAGTTTGTATTTGCAGCTGAAGACAGACATACTCTAGGTCGTTCTCTGTTGTGGAAAAAGTGCTTTGTACAAAATAAGCTTTTTCCACTGCTTTTTTTTCAACGAGTGAAGATTTTCTTCTTGAAATGGGGTTGTTTCATTAAAGCATACATTTTTCACCACTCTCTTCATCCTGATTTTCGTCCTTTACAGTTACTCCCTGCGTGCCAATGCTCTTTTAATCAACTATTTCTCAGCTCCTCTTTCTCTGATTTGTTACATCTCCTTAGTACATATTTGCTTTACCTGTTCCTCAAACTCTTGCTTTATCTGATTTTTTTTCCCCAAGTTCTTATAGTGTGGATGCTATGCTAATCAGTCTATTAGACTACAGTCTCATAGCTCTGACACCTTCTGTGGCATCTCACTACTCCTAAAGAGTAGGCTGGAGAACACCAGATGAAGGTCTGTCCTTGGATTAGACAAAGCGTATGTTGTGTGAACCATTTTATCCACGCTATACCCTCCTTAAACATTTCAGGCAGGAGAAGTCACTCAAACACTGAATTGGCCTATTCTTGTGTATATATATTCTTCAAAGTTGCTAGCTGAAACAGCTCATGTTATTTGTTCTTTGCTTAATGACAGGTTGGTGGATAAAAGCATACAAAATGGCAGAGACCAGTGACATGACCATCAACCTTCTTATGCTTGGAAGAACTCAGACTGGTAAAAGTGCTGCTGGGAACACACTGCTCGGCAGCTACGACTTCAAAAGTCATCTCTCCCCAAGCTCTGTGACTACTTGCTGCAGCCTGGGACGCAGCAGCCGCATTTTGGGGATTATACGAAGGAACGGCTGTGAGGTAGCTCTCCGTGTTCAAATACTCGACACTCCAAGCTACCCCCACAGCAGTCTCAGCAAAGAGCAGGTACAAGACGAAGTGAGAAGAGCCGTGGCTCAACAATTCAGAGAAGGTCTACATCTAGCTCTCCTGGTCCTGCGGGCTGACTTGCCTCTGTGTCCTGATGACAATGATCAGACAACTCAGTTCATCCAGGTAACAACAAACAAAGAGATGTCTTAGCCATAACTGCAACTCTTTTGTCTTCAGGTAAAAACAGAAGATGACTAACTGCTTTACTTGTTCTTCTATGGAAGAGGTAACTGCAAAAGCAAAATAGAGAAGTACATCTGAAAATTGGAACGCTTTCCGAGTCAGAGGTCAAAACATATTCCATTCAGAACCCTAACCCTGCATGTCATAGCTACACTTAGACTAACTCTGAGAATAGAGAGGTTAAGAACTAGCATTTATTGTACTTGGACTCAGCACAAAGAAATTCAGAAATCTAATTTACCTATTAAAACAAACTTTTCTCTCAGGAGCTGCATTTGAAGGTTTATCATGGCAAGTCTAGCTCTGCTGAGACGTGCTATTTGAAATAAAACTCAAGTTGCCTCACTCTCCTATACTTTGCATAGGAAAGAATACTGACCAAAGCAGAGAACGACAGCTCCAAAATCATGCAGAAGATTATGACTGGGACAAGGGTTTAGTTAATCAGCACTCTGTCCTGCACTGTCACTACCGCTGCATCTGTTATGGAGAAAATAACTAGAAAGTTATCATAAGTTTTCTTTGACTAGGGAAAATTTGTAGCATAATTGACTGAAAACAAATATTTAGAAATTCTATCCCAAAATATTTTTAGAAGAGGATAAGTAGGATAAAGACACACAAAATGGATTGACTTTGCAGTACTTCTCACACAGAATTTTATCATTTCCATGAATACACTACTTTGAAACAGAAGCAAAAAGACATTATTCAGTTCATCTATCTAATCAGACAAACCAGACTAACTGACATGATTAAAAAAGAAACAGTTTCCTTCATTATTCCCCAAGTCTGCACATTATACTCAACATGGTATATCTGTGTGTTATAGGAATGAAGTTTCTAAAAACCTGTAAGACTAGAAAAGACTTCCTGGTCCATTAAATCTTATCACCTGCTACAAATAGCAAAGTACAATCATAAAAAGAAGTTTTGAAATATGGGCTATTCTTCCTTTCCTCCTCTTGGCTCTGTTGATAAACTAAACCTCTTTTCTGATGCAGCTGATTTGTATCTTTACTTAATTAACAAAAACAACTACAGTTTTATGGGATACAGCTAGATTGCAGAGTGGTGCTCCCTACAAATTCATGATTCACTTTTTCATCACACACTGAACTTTAAAAAATTTTCTCCCAAAAGTTGGACAAAGAAGTGTAGAAATGTAAGTGTAAAAACTACTCATTTAAATTATTTGAAATCCCTTAAAAAAGTATACAGCAATCATTTTTTTTTATGTAGATCTTGTTTTTATATCAAAAAACCCTCTGTATGAAAAGAAAGGAGAACTGCCTGCTCAATATGACCACTTATTTCCATTAAGTGGGATTGTCAACATCTTGGAAGGTCAAAAACCCCAGAAATTTCAGCAACTCAGATAGCACGAACTGGACTGCTGCCAAGACCAGAACACACTCTTTATACATAAGTATATGAGGTGGGAGCAGGGAAGACAGACAAGAAAAGATAAGTATTTAAGATTTGTTTTTCATTACAGGAACTTCTGGGTCCCACATGGAAGGATTTCACCGTAGTTGTACTTACTCATGGAGACAAGGCAGAAGAAGCTGGATTCAGTGATGATACTTATTTGCACAGTGCCTCAAGTACCGTGTTGTCACTTTTGAGCTCAGTACAGCTCAAATACATTTTCCTAGACAACCAGAAGAGTATAATTAAAGAGGAAAGGGCTACAATCTTAAGAAAGCTCTTGGATTTTATAAGAAAAAATGATTATCAACGGCTTCTACTTAAACACACAAAGGGATAAGTTTTCAGGTACTCATTTACCTGTTTTTTATTGTACATAACATTTAATAGAAACAAACCCTTTCAAGTCAGCAATCATTACACTCCATACCCATACTATTTTCATCTTCTAACAGACAGAAATCTGTCTTTCAAACTAACTACCTTTCATAGAGTACCTTGCACTGCTGCATCCTGAATCCTAGCTTCAACTACAAACATCAGATCAAGGAAGTGCTCTAAATCATGCTCCTAATGTGCGAGTCACAAACAAGACTTTGCAGTACAGCAGCTTGTATATTGCAGTCCATTCAAAACACAGATCTGCAAAAAAAAAGTCAAATATACACATATATGATATGATGACGGGACTGTGGTACTGTAAGGGGAAAGCAAGCCTCTTAATATAGTGCTCAATTCTGCAAACTTTTAAGCAGATGTTTCTCTGAAGGCCAGAGTTTGTAAAGATCTTTCCAAAAGATAGCAGTTAGGTAAAAATATTTCTCTACCTTGATTCAAAATTAATTAGAATTGAGAGTTTAAGCTTCAAGAATTTTGTTTAATAAAACATTATTGAATATGCAGGTTACAAGGCAGCTACAATAGCTCCCATGTGCTTAATATTATTTGGCACATTTGAAAACTAATTACTACTGCTTACTCCCAGATGTATGAAAAAAAATAGCATAGTTAAACATACAGGCACACACAAAACTCGTTCCAAAAAAAGGATTCTTATCTTTTATCCCTGTTTCTTTTGATACTATAACAACGTCATTTTGTTTTCTCTTCAGCTTACTGGATAAAGTTCAAAGCCTGAAAAAAAAAATCAGTGAGACTAGGAAATCAATTTATTTCATTCCAGTGGTTAGAAAATTGCTATTGTGTCAGTGGTTAGACAGCAGACAGCTAAACATTAGATTCTAAAGCATATGAACTATCTCCAAATAGTTACTTAAAAGGCTTATTGCAAACTGATTTTAAATGGTTCTTTTCAAATTTAGAGCCAGGAATTAGAAAAGGTAATCTGAAAATAATACCAATTATGATGACTTGTACTAGTTTATTATAGATTTATTTAAACTAAAAACTGAAGCATCTATCTCTTTCACTCTACAGTATCTCTTGTATAAAATACTGCTTATAAAAATTAAAAGTAAAATCATTTTGTCTTTATTTTTGGCATTGACAAATGCTTTTTTTCTTTTCTCTTTTTCATTTTTTTTTTTTTAAAAAAAAAAAACTGTTTGGCAATCTATTCTCTATATTCACTACCTATTAGTATTACTGTCATTTAAAAGGAAAGATGATCACTTCAAGGTAGAAAAGGTGAGACCCAAGAACTACATTAGGAAACTGACAGCCTTGATTTTATTTAAATTGTAACACTAACTGTGGAAATGTGAAAGTATGCCCATTTGCATAACTTATAGCATAAAGCACCCTACACTTCAATCATCATATTAGTGAAGACTGAAGACTATTCAGACAATACAGTCTGAAACAGAGTTGCAAAGGTTTATCATAATATCTGAAAAGTGCTTGGGAAAAGGTGAGTCAAACTATACAAAGCTGACAAGAATAGTAAAGATGACTTGCTAACTTCTGTTCCAGAGGTGCAACAATTAAGGAACATGGCAAAAAGTTTTCCTTCCTGAGATAGTTTTGCTTAGTAGAACCTTCGTATCTTTTAGCTGCCCAGAGAATACGCTTGCCTGCCTTATGCATCCTCTAGTTCTACTACGAACGAGCCTTGGCAATCAAATCTTAAACACTAAATAGTTCATGACTGTTGATAACACTTAACCTCAGGACAGTAAGCACAGGTAATGAGTAAGGTGTGAAAATCCTGCAGGCATTACACATTTAGCATCTCTGAAAGGAATCAACCAAAAAAAAATAAATAAAAGGAATTAGCCATGCATTTGGGAGATAATATAGTCATGTCTTTATTGTGCTTGTATTACTTTCCATTTCAACATCTGAAAGTTTTTCATAAAGATTTATTTAATTCCACTGTTTGCCATGGTCTCTGCACGGCAGACTCCTTTCCCTTTGACTTCAAATGGAACTCCTTTGTACGTAGCAATACACTGGTCATTGGTATGAAGGTCTGGTTGGATCTGCTCCCAAATCTTCTTCTTGGGATTAAGCTCCTTCTCTGGATCTCCTGTTTGAAAACAGAAAATAACCCATTAGCACACAATACAGAAGACAGGACGAGAGCTAAGGGTACATGTCTATGACAGTACACAGTATCAGCACATGTTAACTCTGACAGGGAAGATAAACTGCAAGTCTCAAAGTAAAAATTTCTTACTGTAAGTGAAAACAGTATTTATAAAACTATGAAATGTCTCTTGATCCTCTCCCTAAAGAATGATATTTCAGGAGAAGAAAGGGTTGTAAGCAGTTAACAGACCACAAAATCTGTCAAAGAATCATAAAATCACAGAATTCTTAAGGTTGGAAGGAACCTCTAGAGGTCATCTCCTCTAACTCCCCTGCACACACAGGGTCACCTAGAGCACGTGGCACAGGACTGCGTCCAAGCAGGGTTTGAAGATCTCCAGAGAAGGAGACTCCACAACCTCTCTGGGCAGCCTGTTCCAGCGCTCTGGCACCCTCACTGTT